GAGCTATGTTCGAATTGTTCACGGATTACTATGGAAAAGTGAAATTCCGTAGTTCGCTACGGTTCCAGTACGGACACATAACGGTATGAGTACGGAGTTCGACGGATTTATCACCAAAAGCGCCGGGAGAGACACGGATTGTTACGGACCGACACGGTTTGATACGGATCGACACGAATCAGGATAGAGGCACTACGGATACACTACGGTCTGCTACGGTATAAGCACGGCTTAGTACGAATAAGTACGTCTGATACGGAGAAGAACGAATTGATACGGAGAAGAACGAATAGCCACGAATCTATACGGACCTTATATGTCCGTCCACAACCTCTTGCATGCTCATTTTCAAAATGCCTTACAAGAAAAGAACACCTAAAAAACGAATTGCAAGGTTCAATGATTTTGGCAGCGAGGATTCGGCCTCATGGCGTCCGACCCCCGAGACATATCAGGTCCGATCATATGGATTTCTTGAAGAACGGATCCTCAACAAGTTCTCATTCTTAACATGAAGGGGTCTTCGTAAAAGCCCATTTCTAGTCCACAATCACCTCTGTCTTTTCTTACCTGATTAGATATGGACTAGTGATCATTAATGAAAAAATATTGATCAATACTGCTTTCTTTTGATTTTAAAAGTTACTGTTCATTACTAATTATCGTGAATGTTTATGTTTTAAGAATATGTAAAAAGCTTGTTAATTACTCTTATTATCACTCAAGGGCCAGCGTCCGAGGTTTATGAAACACTTTTATGTACATATTTACTCCAATTTTACGATTCAATGTTTGTAAAATATGTAACATTAAATGTTATTCTATTACTTATGAATTGTAGTACGATTTAAATATATTTTTTACCTCTATGCATGTCATCAAGCAGCTCGACCACTGCCTCCGCATTCTGAGCCATATCAATATACAATTGCAGCCAGTAAATGGCAATTATCATTTATTGAATGTTCACGCAAATATGTCTGTTTTAACAAGAATGTAGTATTTATACCCTTGAAAAAATACGTGATACTTAATTTATCTGTACTTGATAGAGGTGGACCGTACAATTCCGTACCGTTTCGTGTTAATCCCTGCCTCTCCGTAGTACATAGTATTACGATCGTGGCTTTCCGTGACAATGCCGTATTAAAACCGTAGCTTATACGTAGGGTAACCGTAAAAATACATAGTTCTTCGTATCAAACCGTGGAAATCCTTGACAAGTTGGGGCCTACGAATCAGTACGGACTAGTACGGTTTTCGTACGGACCAGTACGTATCAGTACGGTTTAATACGGACTAGTAGGGATACGCTACGGTTTATTTTTCCTTGGTAAATTTGTGTGCATGTTAAAAAATTGTCAAGGATCGCTACGGATATACAAGGACTACTACGATTGATAACGGTTACAATACGGAGAGCTACTGACCAGTACGGAGAGCTACGGACGATGCCGGAATCAATCCGTGGCTCTTCCGTGAGCGTATTTCGTGAATATGTGACTAAAACAGCTATGGACTTGAAATTTCATAGGATGATATATCTCATTGAGAAAAATGCAGTGCACAGGATTCGGTACTCTGCCTTTCCTGAATTTTGAGTTATTGCCATTTGTTTATTTTAATACTTTATTTTTGACCAGGCCAATTGTACTACACTTTAAACACTGTAATCGCTATTAACTTTTCACTTCATCGGAGGATGGATCTCATTGAGTAAAAGTTCAGTGCACAAGAACTTGTACTCTGCATTTAATGATTTTTGAGTAATTGCCACTTGTTTAATTTCACAGGATGATGGTTCTTATTGAGAATTGCAAAGCATAAGAACCGGTACTCTGTACTCCATGATTTTTGAGTTACTGCCCTTTATTTATTATCATACTTTATTTCTGTCCTTGCCATTTCTAATAAACTATAAAAGCGATGATCTTGTAACTTCATAGGATAATAGATATTATTGAGAAGAACTGCAGTACACAAGAACCGGTACTATGTACTCCATGATGTTTGAGTTATTGCCCTTTGTTAATTTCCATACATATTTTTGTCCGACCATTTTTTTGTCCTCCACCTTTAAAGCTATTGACTTGAAACTTCATAATTTGATTGATCTCATTAAGAAAAATTGCGATTTACAAGAACTTGTACTCATTATTCTTATTTTATTGCCCTTTGTTAATTTACAGGCTTGTCAGAGCATGACGTGGTAACTAAAAGTTTGATTGACTCCAAACTTGGTATGTAAGCGTTTTTCATTGACCCGAAGCGCAGTGCGCAATAATCCACCACAGAGTCCTCATTTTTATCCGTCAGTGTAAAATTGTTCCATGATTTCTTTTATTTTTGATAATATAACAGTTATTTTTTAATCCTGACTTTACATTTATACAATCAGTTGAAATGCCACAAACTAAAGGTCCATGTACATTGCAAGAGCTGTGTTTATAAAAAAACTTAGATTAGAGAAGAAAATCCCTAACTGACAGCTATATTGTTGACAAAGCGGCACATCCGACTCTCGGAGTTCTAGTTACTTCCTTAATGGATTGTTTTCATATTAAGCCAAAATAACCCTTTAGACCTAAATTCATATTTCTTTTAACGTTGCTGTGATTGGCTATAACTCCGTAAATAATAAAAGAACTGTGTTCATACTAAGACACACAAGACATGAAAGATTATTTAATTTATCTTGACCTTGTTATTCGAGCTTGACCTTAATAGTAAGTGAATATTTTTACACGTGAAGCCATAAACTTGTTATTTTATCTTTTGATTTGATTTGTACTTGGGCAGAAGTACACTTATTATATGAGGGGCATATTTTAATTAGATGCAACGACAGCGCTTATTTTTTTTATAAATAAGCCATACCTGTGAAAACTGTCCTCAAGAACATTTTCACCCTGGGCCTCTTCACACTTTTCAAGACTCAACAGGAAAGGATTTTTGAATCCATTCTTTGGGTATACAGTTTATACACTGGCAGTGAGCGCTTTCGACAGCACTACGGGTTTTGAACCGGCGACCGTGAATGCAAGATTTGATGTATGGATTTAACCAAAAGTCACATGGAGAAAGTTTAGGACTATTAGAGCGATGTAGCAAAACCTCAATTTTCTACTCTCCTAGTAATAAGCTTGAACCAAGGCTGATAGGTGTAAAGGCATCATCGTGGAGTAATTTGATCCTGTGCACCCGGATCTTGGGTTCTTTGTAATGTAGTGATCAACTAAATGTTCCAAAGACACTAATCCTCTCACGTACAGCGACACGTCAAAAAACAGAGCGTATATAGCTCTTTTTAACGCTCCTGATACGTCGATCAACAACTGGGCGATCGCTTGTTTTACCTACCCACTTTTTGTAACTGAATAAATTGTCCGGCTTTAAAAGATTAAACAAGAACCGGTTGATGCTCCCCGAGAAGGTTCTGGACACAGGAAAGTATAAAAAAAATGAACAAAGGGCAAAAAACTCCAAAATTAGGCAAAGTGGAGTTATGTTTTTTGCACTGCACTTCTATTCAATGAGATCTATCTATCTATAAAGTTTCCTGATGATATTAGAGTTATGTCCCGGGTAAAATTCAAAGTGTAAAAATGAACAAAGGGCAATAACTCCAAAATTAGACCAGGCTTTGTTTAGGTTCTTTAAGTATTGCAGTTCTATCCAATTATATCTAGCTACCTACAAAGTTTCATGTTGATATCTCTAATAGTTTTAAAATTATGGCACGGACAAAAGTCAAAAAGTAAAAATAAAAAAAGGGCAATTACTTCAAAATAAGGCAAGGCAGAGTAATGATTCTTAAGCACTGCACTTCCACCCAATGAGACCTATCTATCTACAAAGTTTCATGTTGATATCTCTTATAATTTTAGAGTAATGTCCCGGACAAAGTTCAAAGTGTCAAAATGAACAAAGGGCAATAACTCCAAAAGAAGGCAAGACAGTGTTACAGTTCTTGTGCACTGCAAACTTACTCAATGAGATCTATCTACCTACAAAGTTTCATGTTGATATCTTTTATACATTTAGAGTTATGTCCCGGTCAAAGTGTAAAAATAAACAAAGGGGGATAATTCAAAAATTAGGCAAGGCAGAGTTAAGGTTCTTGTTCACTGCACACCTACTTAATGAGCTCTATCTACCTACAAAGTTTCATGTTGATACCTCTTATACTTTTAGAGTTATGTCCCGGACAAACTTCAAAGTGTAAAATAAACAAAGGGGAATAATTCAAAAATAAGGCAAGGCTGAGTTACGGTTCTTGTGCACTGCACACTTACTCAATGAGATCTATTTACCTACAAAGTTTCATGTTGATACCTCTTATAGTTTTAGAGTTATGTCCCGGACAAATTTCAAAGTGTAAAATAAACAAAGGGGGATAATTCAAAAATTAGGCAAGGCAGAGTTACAATTCTTGTGCACTGCACACCTACTTAATGAGCTCTATCTACCTACAAAGTTTCATGTTGATACCTCTTATACTTTTAGAGTTATGTCCCGGACAAAGTTCCAAGTGTAAAAATAAACAAAGGGGAATAATTAAAAAAATAGGCAAGGCAGAGTTACGGTTCTTGTGCACTGCACACCTACTCAATGAGATCTTTCTACCTACAAAGTCCTCTTGTTGTTTCAAAGTTATGTCCCGGACAAGAAAAGGGGACGGACGGACGGACGGACGGAGAAGGCGGCGACTATATGCTCCCCCGAAATTTTTCGGGGAGCATAAAAAAACAAGGATAAAGATCACCAAGGCAAGGGCAACGTTCACAGGACGCAGAAGCTACATTTCATCCCCTGCAACAATATCTCTCAGGGGTCTAGTATAGATAAATACAGAAACCCTAAAGAAAGCCCAAAACGGCAAAATTGAAAATGTTGCAGGCTCGGTTTGATTGAGCCTGTTCATGGACGGTACTGGAAAGTGCAAGTTACCGTCCACGCCCCCCAGCACCGATCTCGATCTTTGATCCAAGTCAATAAAGTCGATGCCTTTTTTCAACCTGTTCAACGTGTTCTATACACGCAAATGCCCCAGCTCAGATTCTTGTAACAATTTTTCAAAGATGTTTACCAATTCATTCATTTATGGACAGAAAAAATGCCAAACCAAACGTAAACACAATAAATATATAACATGACAATCATAGAGTTTGTGTTTTACTTGGGGAGAAATTGGCATGTCATTGCTATGATTTGTGATGAAGTTGAAAAATACGTTTTTAACTTTCCAATAAACTTTTATCAAATATATATAAATACAAGGCCTTGCTATTGAACCCTATGACCGCAAACTCCATCTAAACTTTAAGGACCACCTTAGGTATGTTCCTTGTAAACATGAGACATTGATTTTAATACAAAGGCTCATTAAATGTTTAAAAAAACTATTGTTAGCACAAGTGACCTTCACCTTGTGACTCCCAACACTTGAACATCCAAAGTATGTTCCTTCCAAATATGAAAAAACATCAGTATGTACTTTCCAAATATGAAAAAACACCAGTCTATAAATAAAGGCTGTTTGGGCAAAAGGGTAAAATCTATTTTTTGGCACTGGTGATGTTAACCCCTATCTCAATCCAAAGGAAAAATTCCATGCAAGTAATCATCCTTTCAAATATAAACCATCAGGCAAATGATAAAGGCTGTATAAGCAAATTTTTAGAAATCTATTATTGGCACACTTACGTTGTTTCAATGACCTCTTACTCAATCTATGCAAATTTTCTTGCCAAATATGAAAAACATCTGTCTTTAAATAAAGGATGTATGGACAAAAGTGTAAAAATCTATTTTAGCACTGGTGAACTTAACCCAACTGACCCGTAACTCCATCAAAATAAAGAAAATTATCTAAGTATCAAATGTAAAAGAAATCAAAAGAATATGGTTACACCTGAAAAAGTGTAAAAATCTACCCAAATGACCCCCAACTTTTCATACAGAAATGTTAAAATTCAATTTTTACACCAATGGCATTGACCCTAATGACTCCTTACTCAACAAAATGTTAGCGGACCTTTGAAGGTATCCACCTTCCCAAGTATGGAAAATATCATTAAAAGAATAAATCCAACTTGCAAGAATAGACTAACCATACATTTAGGCCCATTTTCAAAGTGAAAAAAAGGCTAATAACTGGGGAAAAAAAGATGGCACAATTATATAACTTGGCAATATTATATATTTTATATATAAGTATGTGTGGAAATTATGAAGCCATTAACATACAGCCCCTGCAAGTATAGGTTAACCATTTCAATTTTTCAAAGTACGAGAAAGGGCAATAACTTGGAAAAAATGGAAGTCATGATTTCATAATTTGCCAATATCATGTAAGTAAGTCTGTAGATTATAACGCCATTGGTAAAGGTAGAACTTAAGACAATTCCAACTTTACCAGGAACATATGATGGACAGACCGAAGGACGGTTTAACTACTATATGTCCGGGGGTATAAAACCCCAAACCGGACCGAATTTAAACTCATTTTGAAATATCATAATCATATGTTTAAAGGATATAAAGCTATAATCCATGCAATTTTTTTTTATAAAATACTTCAATAGTAAAATTATATTGCTTCCATAAAGTTATGATCGATTCTCAAGAGTTGTAAGATAAAAGATGTAAGTCTTTGTTTTTTAACACACACAAATATAGTATTTAAACATAATAAAATGTTTCGGTCATTTTGCTACTCTAAGTAAAGTTTACTATGTTGAGTTAAGCAATGCATGCACTAGTCGTTTTCAAGGCAATTCACTACCGTATTTGTTTAATACAAACACATTTTTGAAGTATTCAATTTTAAAATGCAAACAATAATTTTTGTACCAGATACATAACTTCATATTTTTGATGATTTATTGTTATAATGTCTTTAATCATTAGTATATTTTCATGTTACCATTTTGATAAAAAATAATGGAGGAACAAAGGGAGCAAACGCCGGAGGATGTATTGTTTAGTGAGAGATCCACAGCTGTTTCTGACACATACTACAAGAACAGGAAGGTTTAATCATTTGTCTTGAATATTTAAAAATCTTTAAGAAATATAGCCTTGACTACCAGATTTCGTTGTTATGATAATTTGTATAAAGTATCATTGAAGCCTCTGTAAACACTATGTTAATGTAGTAAAGGTGTCCAATAACCTTTTTGCTCTTTTTGATAAGATTCAATTCAGATGACATGTCATGCAAATGAGCATGAACATTTTAGAGGGGACAGACACGCGCAATGTGTTAAGAGCGTGAATACTAGTAAGGGGTTAAGGAAATACCGATTGATTTTAAACATTGTCTGGCTATGTCATATGTACCTCTTACTAAGAACAGATAAGAGAAAAAATCTACAAATGCTTGCCGTTTTGACGAAACAAAGTTTGTATTAGATAGAAATGTTTTAGATATGCTACTATAAAGAGTATAGTTAAGTAAAGTTTATCATTTCATGTATATTTTAAGGTATTTAACGACCCTATTCACGGAAACATAGAATTACACCCAGTGTGCATTCGCATCATAGACACGCCTCAGTTTCAGCGTCTGAGACACATCAAACAACTAGATACATGTTACCTTGTTTATCCAGGTGCCTGTCATAACAGGTTCGAGCACTCAATTGGGTATGTGTTTCTTTTGTATAATCTTTTATGCGCCCACTCTAAGGGGGGATTTAGATTTGTCCGCCCGTCCAAGCATGCGTATGTGGTAGTTGTGAACTGTGGTTTTGCGAGAGTTATCTTCCTTGACTAAATAAAAATTTGCAATTTTCAACTTATGTTGTGCGTAGCTCAAAAGGAAATTGAGCTAGAGTCATGGAATTTTTCACGAATGTTGTTATATGGGGAAATATGTAGAATTTCATTTGTCTGTGTACATCAGAAGACTGACAAAACAGCGGATTGTGGTATCCGTATCCTATAGACATATTTTTAGTTTAATATTTTTATGAAGGTTATAGAGACTTAAGTTATTTTAATGGCACTCATTTGTCAATGCAATCTAATCTGTGATCAACGGAGAAAAGCCAAAAGAAATTATAAGGCAGGAAAACTTAAAAAATAATTTGAACAATTAATTCGCAAAATTAAATGTTGGCTAATCATTAACTTCTCCCTTCTTAACTTTCTTCAGCCTAAAATATCATACACAATTGAAAATATTGTTGCAGTGTGTGTTATCTAGCTGGAAAACTATTGAGAACAATTCGAGATCGTCATCCGGAAGAACACATAAGTCAAAAAGACATTCTGTGTGTCGAGATAGCAGGACTCTGTCATGACTTAGGTATTTATTTTCTTTTATGATAAAATAAATCCAAACTATTTCTATACCATTTGGTGAAGGTCTGGGTAAATAATTTGTGTAAAAAAATCAAGATCATTCTCTCTCTGTGTTTGTTCAAATTGTCATTTACATTGTGCAAAGTGAGAAAAAAATGAAACGCGTTTTAACGCGTTTTCACTAAAATCAATCGAATCGCACAAGAATCGATTTTTCATTTTATTCTGAGCATATTAATTTTTAACTTTATTATTATTATTTGATTTTTGAAATATTTGTATAAGCGTGCCTGTAATTTTTGTTCTAGGCCAAGGACCATATTCCCATGTATTTGAAAAGAAATTTATGCCAAAAAAGAATCCTGAACAATTGTTTTCAGTGAGTGTTTTTTAAGATAAATAGGGTAGTTCCACCATTATCTGTTCACTTTCTGTGCACATATAAGTCTTCCTGTTATCTTTAAAGGGATTGAAAAAGAGAAAATATACTTTGTTTACAATAAATGTTTATAAGATTCTTGAATACTGTTTATAACTCATTTTTCAGTTATTCTAATAATTACTCGAAATTTCATTAACAGTGAGACATAATCATATTATCAACTTATTATGCTCGAAACATAACAAGATACATTCAATATTTTTTAGCATGAAAAAGTTGCTCGGAAAATGTTTGAGTATATGCTGAACAATCGAAACTTGAAAGAAGATATTCAAAAAATACTTCAGAAATGTGAGAAGCTTACGTTTGAGGAAAATGACTTTACATTCATATGTGAAATGATTGATGATCCAAAAACCATTGACGCAGAAGTAAGACATTTATCTTGATGAAGTATTTGAGAAAAAATGCACCGTTTCTTCGCTTTGTGCATAAACATCTGCAGAAGCACCAGATTGCATTTAAAATGCTTCTGTGTTGTTATATTTTCTGGTCCTTCGGGATCATTGATGCCAACACTATAAAGTGTTGAGAATTGAGTACCGCTCAAGCCGGTGCTAGGGGGCGTGAGGGATGTTGCACTTATTCATTATCCCTCATGTACAGACTCAATCAAACCGAGTCTGCAATTCTTATGTTATTATGTTGTGATTAATGCTTCCGAGGGATCACTTTGTTTCCAGAATTTTGTACTTCACAACAGCAGGTGTCAAGTGCTGTGTGGCAGCCGTAAAAAGTTGCCCCGTACTTCACTTCAGTGTTGTTATATTTTCTGGTCCTTCGGGATCATTGATGCCAACACTATAAAGTGTTGAGAATTGAGTACCGCTCAAGCCGGTGCTAGGGGGCGTGAGGGATGTTGCACTTATTCATTATCCCTCATGTACAGACTCAATCAAACCGAGTCTGCAATTCTTATGTTATTTTGTTGTGATTAATGCTTCCGAGGGATCACTTTGTTTCCAGAATTTTCTACAAATATTAATGCATCAAACACGTACATTAGCGCTATTCTTGCATAAAAGTGTATATCTAATTTCTTTTGGTCTGCGTTTTATTATTTGAGTTGCTCGTTTTTCGAATATTATAGAATTTTGTTTCGCCCACTTTTGAGTGTTGACAATTATGTTTTCACTACGAATTTACCGAGAACGTCATTTCAGTCAGCTATATTTATATGGCGATCATATTAAAAGTAACATAAAACATCGACACTTGTTTGCGTCATTTAAGTATATTTCCTCTCCGTTTAATTATATCTACGAGCGGAGTTTGTATGCAAGGGTAGAAAGTGAGTGATGAACTTTTAAAAGGACATCGATAGAAACCACTGACACGAAAGCATTTCGCTACAAGAAAACAATTCAAGAAGAGGCATACAATTTAATAGAATATCAACAAATGTTGTAACACATGTTGAAAGATAGTATTTGTAATTGCAATTGTATTTAATTTCTTTAAAACTTTCTAAATAATTTCATACAATTTATAAAAACTATAGTATGTTTTAAATATTAGTGATAATAAAATACAGTATAAGCATAGTTTTTTGACAATTCATTGATATGTTTCAGATTTGGCCATACAAGGGCCGGACATCAGACAAAAGCTACATGTATGAGGTTAGCCAAGAAGTGTTTGATTTGCAAAAATATAATCAGAATTAACATACTTAAAAATACTGGTTAAAAATATGAAAAACAAGATCAACAAGGAAAGGCGGCGTTCAATGAACGCAACCCCCATATGACCCAGCAACAAGAACCAATGGCAAGGAGCCCAGGCGGAAAGCTACTCTCCCTAGTAACCTAAACATATTTGTTGCCCGTTATCAAATATGCACAGTAAAATTTGCAGTTTCCACGTAACGGTTTTTATGTTTCACTTGGCACATGTATACACCCATATTATCACACCCGTTAACACATAACGACCAGGACCGCTTGATGCAGGTACAACTAACTATATAAACGTCAGTTTGAACCGGATTTCTGAGTAAGTTCTTCTGTTTTAGTCTCATTTTATGAACATAATATTTTCTGTGTTACATTATTTATGCAGCAATAGTTTGCAGGATAACCAACCGAGCAAACAGATCTACTTGTAACCAGTTTACGGATGTGTTTATAATATAAGTCAATATTTACAACCTAAAACTTTGTTACTGTTTAAAATTATAGAATTATAAACAATGCAAAAACTTAACTTCATTTTTTTCTCGTCAGACAAGACAGGTATTAATCATCTAGTTTCATAATGTAAAAGCCTGTGGTAAACTTTTATTTTTTCATTACCTTTTTTTAAAAAAAAACATCGAAACTACAATGTGTGGGATAGTAGCTTTAAGTGACTCCAATTAATTAAAAAAAAAAAACCTTTTCAGTGTATGTAAAGGTTTCAGTTTTGATAACGAGATGAATGTAAGATTGTAAAAAAGAAAACGCCAACAAAAGAAAGTTTCTGTTTTTATACTCAGATCCCCATTCAAAAACAAACATTTCAGACTCAATATGATAGAATCTTAAACATAAAAAAACAGTTACTGTACGATGATCGACGTTGACAAGGCAATTTTGTGCAATTTTTTGGTTAACAAACATTTCAAAGGATTAGATATCACATTGAAGATTCCATGATAACGCATTATATATACTTTAAAAAAACCAAATTGTACCTGTTTAAGTTAATTCTGCTTAAGCCGGGCCTTGTGGGCGCAGGCAGTGGCTTGCAATTACAGTACCGTCCATGAACAGGGTCAATCACACCGAGCCTGTGAGAGACATCATAAAAAGGATATTCCGGCTTTTCACTCAAAAAATGTGTAAGAACCAGCAGAAAAAGCGGCTAATAGGCTTATTTTTGTGTCACGTTATATTACAATAATACTTTACAAAATGGACTAAGAAGAATAAATGTGTATTCTGAAACAACTGCTTTTAAAAAAGATATTGCTAAAGATCATAACACGAATATTTATTGCCTTGAAGTCCGAATGGATGGAAAAGAATTTCTTATAATGTATTGGACTCCTAAACTGCATAAAAACCATACAATATGAAAAACAAGATCATCAAATAAGGGCGGCTTAGGATATGTTGCCTGCTTTTTAAATTTGTCTTTTGACGTCTTATCTGTGATATGCAGGCTTCATAACCTCAGATCCCCTTTCAAAATTCCATTTTATTTAGTTCCGCCCATTGTTTTCTCGTTTAGGGCACACGCATTCTTTTACTTGGGGACCATACGCCGCTTTTCATGGAATGACACTACTGTGTCACATTGAAGGTTCCATGATAACCGCCGTATGAACACATCTGCGGATGTTTCTAAATTCAAATTTCACCATTTTAGTGTTTAAATGTTGAATTCTGCTTAAGCCGGTGCTAGGGGGCGTGGACGGTAACTTGCAATTTCCATTACCGTCCATGAACAGGCTCAATCAAACCGAGCCTGCAACATTTTCAATTTTGCCGTGTTGGGCTTTCTTTAGGGATTCTGTATTTTATCTATTTTATGATCACATCCGTGTTATTTGTGCCGTGTGGCGGCTGTAAAAAGTCTCCCCGTACATTTAATCAATGATGTTATATTTTCGATCCTTGAAGATCGTTCAGCACGACATTATTGTTGTGCTTGTGGTATTTTTTGTTTCAACTTTTCGGCATTTTCTATTTTGGTGGTTCCAATATTCCTACTTGAATAATGTTGAATCACCCTTAGGATATGTTGCCTGCTTTTTAAATTTGTCTTTTGACGTCTTATCTGTGATATGCAGGCTTCATAACCTCAGATCCCCTTTCAAAATTCCATTTTATTTAGTTCCGCCCATTGTTTTCTCGTCTAGGGCACACGCATTCTTTTACTTGGGGACCATACGCCGCTTTTCATGGAATGACACTACTGTGTCACATTGAAGGTTCCATGATAACCGCCGTATGAGCACATATGCGGATGTTTCTAAATTCAAATTTCACCATTTTTGTGTTTAAATGTTGAATTCTGCTTAAGCCGATGCTAGCAGGCATGGACGGTAACTTGCACTTTCCATTACCGTCCATGAACAGGCTCAATCAAACCGAGCCTGCAACATTTTCAATTTTGCCGTGTTGGGCTTTCTTTAGGGATTCTGTATTTTATCTATTTTATTGAAATGAACGCAATCCCCAGACGAACCAGCAACACAGGGCCACCGACAATCAGCCCAGCTGGACACAAAACAAAACGGGACACAAGGCAAAACAGACAAGATTCATTGCTAATTGTACTTCTTGAACTACATGTTAGCTGTTTTTTTATTGACGTCTTGTCTGGCTGCCATTGAGACACGTTTTATTCTATATTGTGATAAAATTTGAAAACAAATTCAACATGGACGGGCGCGTTTAATGAACGCAACAATAACACAACCCAAAAACACAGGACCAATGGTAAGAAGCCAAGTATGCCACCAAACAAAAACAGGACAGGACACAAGGCAAAGCACGGACGAAAAATGGCTACTTTATAACAGATAAAAGGAAATAATAGAAACCGACAAGGAAATTAAAGAAATATAAAACAAAAAATATAAAAGGTTAGTCCATGCAGACTCGACACTGGTGGACGCTGAACAATGAACGCCAAGCAATGCCTTGAACAGGCTCAATCAAATATGACAAACAAGATCAACAAGGCAAGGCGGCGATCAATAAACGCAACCACCAACATGACCCAGCAACAACAACCAGCGGCAAGGAGCCCGGGAGGCCAAGCCTGCAAAATTTTCAATTTTGCCGTGTTTGGCTTTCTTTAGGGATTCTTATTTTCTCTATTTTATCGCCACATCAGCGTTGTTTGAGACGTGTGGAGGCTGTAAAATGTCGCCCGTACATTCAATCAGAGATGTTACATTTCCGATCCTTAAAGATCGTTCAGGATGACATTTTTGTTGTGCTTGTAACTTAATTCTTTCGATTCGGCTATTTTCATGTTGGGTGGTCCCAGTATTCCTAACTTGAATACTGTTGAATCACCCTGAGGATATGTGCCCTGCTTTTAAATTTTCTTTTTATCGTATTATCTGTGATATACAGGCTTCATAACCTCTTAAAATATGATAAACAAGATCAACAAGGAAAGGCGGCGTTCAATGAACGCAACCCCCACATGACCCAGCAACAAGAACCAATGGCAAGGAGCCCAGGGGGACCCCAAACAAAAACAGGACAGGGCAAAGACAGAGCACGGACAGGTTAATCATTAAATGATAATTAATTTGTAACTGATTAGGAATTCAAAGAAAATAAAAATAGGCCCACAAAGGGGAAGGGGACAGGAGACCGGGGGAGGGGGTGGGGAGCAATCAAAGAAATAAAAACTAAAGCCAATTTTATTTAGTTTCGATCATTGTTTTCTTGTTTAGGGCATACGCATTCATTTACTTGGGGATCATAAGCAGCTTTTAATGGAATGGCACGAAAGAGTCACATTGAAGGTTCCATAATAACAGTCGTATGAACACAATTGCGATGTTTCTAAATTCAAAATTTCATCATTACCATAATTAAATGTTGAATTCTGCTTAAAATATGAAAAACAAGATCAACAAGGAAAGGCGGCGTTCAATGAACGCAACAAAGCCGGTGCAAGGGGGCGTTGACGGTAAAATAGGAAAAACAAGATCAACAAGGAAAGGCGGCGTTCAATGAACGCAACCCCATATGACCCAGCAACAAGAACCAATGGCAAGGAGCCCAGGCGGACCCCAAACACAAAAAAGGACAGGGCAACGATACGTTAATCATTAAATGATAAATAATTTATAACTGATTAGGAATTCAAAGAAAACAACAACAGGCCCACAAAGGGGAAGGGGACAGGAGACCGGGGGAAGGGGGGGGGGGTCAACCAAAGAAACAAAAACTAGAGGCAATGGGGAAGATACTTACCGTAGACGAGAAAACAACAAGGGACACAAGCAAAAGTGTCACCAAAACAGTATGAAACAACATAGACATACATCTGAGGAACACAGTGGGGCGCCGCCTTGGAACGGTCAGCAGCATAATAATGACTGCTGGGGAGTTTAAACCGGTTAATGGTGCACCAAACCTCGCTCTTAGCCCGACCATGTTCCTAAAGACGAGACAGTGTAAATAAAATGAATCCCCGCCAAGTGAAATTCTAACAGTTGTCATGGTTACAAAAGGTTAAATAAGTAAAACACTAAAATGATCATGTAGAAACATATAAAAGTAAACCCAATGACCATAACAAAAGTACTCAATGTCCTAAAGGAAGACAGAGCAACAAGAAAATCACCTACGAGTGTTTATAGGAACATGGTGGGGCTAAGAGCGAGGTTTGGTGCACCATTAACCGGTTTAAACTCCCCAGCAGTCATTATTATGCTGCTGACCGTTCCAAGGCGGCGCCCCACTGTGTTCCTCAGATGTATGTCTATGTTGTTTCATACTGTTTTGGTGACACTTTTGCTTGTGTCCCTTGTTGTTCTCTCGTCTACGGTAAGAATCTTCCCCATTGCCTCTAGTTTTTATTTCTGTGATTAACCCCCCCCCTCCCCCCGATCTCCTGTCCCCTTCCCCTTTTTGGGCCTATTATTCTTTTCTTTGAATTCCTAACCAGTTACAAATTATTTATCATTTAATTATTAACCTGGCCGTGCTCTGTCCTTGCCCTGTCCTGTTTGTGTTTGCAGTCCGCCTGGGCTCCTTGCCATTGGTTCTTGCTTGGTCATGTGGGGGTTGCGTTCATTGAACGCCGCCTTTCCATGTTGATCTTGTTTATCATATTTTTTGCACTTTCCAGTATTGTCCATGAACAGGCTTAATCAAACCGACCCTGCAAGAATTTCAATTTTGCCGTGTTGTGCTTTCTTTAGGGATTCTGTTTTTCTCTATGATATGGTCACATTAGTGTTATTTGTGCCGTGTGGCGGCTGTAAAAAGCTTCCACGTACTTGTAATCAAAGATGTTATATTTTCGTTCCTTGAAGATCGTTCAGCACGACATTATTGTTGTGTTTGTGGCACTTTAAGTTTTTACTTTTTGGTATTTTACTAATTTGGTGGTTTCAATATTCCTACTTGAATAATGTCGAATCACCCTTAATATATGTGGCCTGCTTTTTAAATTTGTCTTTTGACGTCATATGCAGGTTTAATAACATCTAATCCCCATTCAAAATTCCGTATTGTTTAGGTCCGCTCATTGTTTTTTCGTTAATGGCACACACATTCTTTTATTTGGGGATCATACGAAGCGTTTCATTGAACGGCACGAAAATGTCACATTGAAGGTTCAATAATAACAGTCGTATGAACACATCTGCGGATGTTCCTAAATTCAAAATTTCACCATTGCCGTGATTAAATGTTGAATTCTGCTAAAGCCAGTGCTAGGGGGCGTGGATGGTTACTTGCACGTTCCAGTACCGTCCATGAACAGTTAATGTTACTTTTCCATTGCTTTCTTTAGTCGACCCATAACTTGAAGACTTTTGGTTGGAATTCAATATTACTTCATACAATGATCAAGCACATTTAGATGAAGTGCAGTGAATAAAAAACAATATGATACAAGAGGGCCATGATGGCCCCGAGTCGCTCACCAGAAACAACTGTTTTTCAGTGAATTTTTAAATAGTCCAGGTCAACTTCAATTTGCCTCTCTAGTTGTACGGTTTCCCCGACACTGATTGTTTTTTTTTTCTTTAAAGTAAAAATGATAGGAACCAAGTTTTGGTCAATATTTATTTAAGATAACATAGGTATACTAGTCAACTCAGACAAAAAGTTAACATTTCAGGTTAATTATCTTACTCTCTTATAAAAATGGGAATCTTACTCTCTAATAAAAATGGGAAAAATTGTAACTTTAACTATAAAGAGGAAAAAGGCAAAAGGTTGTTTTGATGAAATGTATTCAGTGAACATGAAAACAACTTTACATACATTGTATGAAACAGTGCAAAATTACTTTCAACAAGTGATAACCAAGTTTACAAAATGTGATTCTGAATAGAAATTATTGAAACTGATATTAAAATAGCACAAAAAATAAAAAATGACATACAAAGATGCCGAATAAAAAGAACTAAAATACAACAAGCACAACAATAATGTCCTGCTGAACGATATTTAAGGATCGGAAATATAACATCCCTGATTGAATGTACGGGCCGACTTTTTACAGCCTCCACACGGCACAAACAACGCTGATGTGGCGATAAAATAGAGTGAGATAAAGAATTCGTAAAGAAAGCCCAACAAAAAAGCCAAACAAAAGCCCACAAACATTGCAAACACCTAAATAGATAAATACAGAATCCCTAAAGAAAGCCAAACACGACAAACTGTAAATGTTGCAGGCTCGGTTTGATTGAGCATGTTCATGGACGGTAATGGAAAGTGCAAGTTACCGTCCACGCCCCCTAGCACCAGCTTCAGCAGAATTCAACAATTAAACATGAAATAGTAAAATTTGGAATTTAGAAACATCCGCAGATGTGTTCATACGGCGGTTATCTTGGAACCTTCAATATGACATTTCCGTGCCATTCCATGAAAAGCGGCGTATGGTCCCCAAGTAATAAAAAGCGTGTGCCCTAAACGAGAAAACAATTGGCAGAACTAAATAAAATGGAATTTTGAAAGGGGATCAGAGGTTTTGAAGCCTGCATATCACATATAAAACGTCAAAAGACAAATTTAAAAAGCATGCAACATATCCTAAGGGTGATTCAACATTATTCAAGTAGGAATACTGGAACCACCCAACTAGAAAATGCCGAAAAGTTGAACCTTACCACAAGCACAACAATAAAGTCGTGCTGAACGATCTTCAAGGATCGAAAATATAACATCATTGATTAAATGTACGGGGAGACTTTTTACAGCCGCCACACGGCACAAATAACACGGATGTGATCATAAAATATATAAATACAGAATCCCTAAAGAAAGCCCAACACGACAAAACTGTAAATGTTGCAGGCTTGGTTTGATTGAGCCTGTTCATGGACGGTACTGGAAAGTGCAAGTTACCGTCCACGCCCCCCCCCCCCCCCAGCACCGGCTTAAGCAGAATTCAACACTTAAACATGAAATAGTAAAATTTTGAATTACGAAACATCAGCAGATGTGTTCATATGGCGGTTATCATTGAACTTTCAATGTGACAGTTCCGTGCCAATCCATGAAAAGCGGCGAATGGTCCCCAAATGAATAAAATTATCTTCCTTTATTCTCCCCAAGTGAAATTCTGAATTTAACAATTGTCATGGTTACATTATACAACATTCTGGAAACAAAGTGATTCCTTTGGAAGCATTAATCACAACAAAATAACATAAGAATTGCAGACTCTGTTTGATTGAGTCTGTGCATGAGAGACAATGAATAAGTGCAACATCCCTCACGCCCCCTAGTACCGGCTTGAGCGGTACTCAATTCTCAACACTTTATAGTGTTGGCATCAATGCTCCCGAATACCCAGAAAATATAACAACACTGAAGTGAAGTACGGGGAAACTTTTTACGGCTGCCACACGGCACTTGACACCTGCTGTTATGAAGTACAAAATTCTGGAAACAAAGTGATCCCTGGGAAGCATTAATCACAACAAAATAACATAAGAATTGCAGACTCGGTTTGATTGAGTCTGTACATGAGGGATAATGAATAAGTGCAACATCCCTCACGCCCCCTAGCACCGGCTTGAGCGGTACTAAATTCTCAACACTTTATAGTGTTGGCATCAATGATCCAGAGGGACCAGAAAATATAACAACACTGAAGTGAAGTACGGGGCAATTTTTTACGGCTGCCACACGGCACTTGACACCTGCTGTTGTGAAGTACAAAATTCTGGAAACAAAGTGATCCCTCGGAAGCATTAATCACAACAAAATAACATAAGAATTGCAGACTCGGTTTGATTGAGTCTGTACATGAGGGATAATGAATAAGTGCAACATCTCTCACGCCCCCTAGCACCGGCTTAAGCGGTACTCAATTCTCAACACTTTATAGTGTTGGCATCAATGATCCAATTAATGAAAAATTAATAAAACGCATAAACGATCATGTAGATATGTAGAAAAAGGTACCGTCTGAAAGGCTTTAAGAACTGTCCACTATAGAGTCCTTCACTTGGTCCTTAGATGCCATCAAGGGGAAAATGTAGCGTCCAACTGTAGAAGAGTGGAACTAATGCATGTGGTATGCCTTAAAATAATTGGGTCTTATTTAATGCTTTAAGCTTAACTGGTTTCCACTTTTTGTGTAATTTGATGTAGATCGAATCAATAAAGAAATAGAGTAATGGAATCCCTAAAGATCATCTAAAATATCTTTTTTTATGTTTTAGATCGTTGCAAACAAAAGAAATGGTATCGACGTTGACAAATGGGATTATATTGCTCGTGACAGCCTTATGCTTAACATGAAAGTAAATTTTGATTACAGCAGGTGCTTCACGAGAGCAAGAATTATTGAATGTAATGGGACTTATTATAGTGATGACACAAATACAGCCTCCCGACAAGTAAATCGGAAACGAATTTGCTATAGAGAAAAAGTATTTACCTGACATAGACATTTTCATTTATTTGCAAAGATAATAAAAGTTTGTTCTAAATTTTGATTACTGCTGGGTAAAGTAATATAATTAAATTATTAACCCTTTGCATGAATTATCATTTACTACAGTATTCTTTCTTGTTAAAGGTAGTTTTATTTTGAATAAAGTATATGTGCATAAGGAAATTTGACATATCACACCTTAAATATACAATAGATTTCAGTCTTAATTTTGTTATCATATACAATTTAGGAGGCACAGGACCTTTATGACATGTTCTACACGAGAATGACTTTACATAGACGGGCTTATCAACACAAGACACATAAAATCATTGGAATAATGTATGTATTTGCTGTATAAATTAAGTTTTCATACAAATGTACCAAGTTTCAATTTAACAAAAAAAATAGTTATATATTGTCCTTCTGCATGTTATTATGCTTCTCTTTCACTGTCCCACATAGATAAACTAGAATAATACTTCTGATGCAAAAATCATTTCTAGATCACTTTTCATTGTATCTCGTTTGAAAGGAAATAATTAAAAACTAATAATTATCGAAGTAATACCGTACTTTGATTTGCATTAAACATAATTTGTTAGTTATTCTTTTCCGTTTTATCACATTCACGTGTTGCTTTTGCGACTCCGTAAAATGCATTGCTATGCCGTGGTATTATTTGCAAACAATGCGTAAAAGCGCGCGAAAGCTTTATACTATAGGCACGTCAATCCAAATATTGATAATTCTTACCATATGATCGCATAATTTCTTTTACTCAACTCGTTCAGTGAATTCAGCATTGAACCTACGCACATTCAAGTATCTCTTTTTGAAAACTTGATTTTTATAAGAGTATTTTTCGTTATTTTGTTATAATCTTTTTGAGATCATTTAATACCAGCAATTTGCTCACTGTCTTCATACCAAAAATATATTTGCCTTTTCCATCTGTTTGTACAATTATACTATATTATTTAATTTTACCCGTGAAATATGATTCTAAATCAGTCAAATATAATTCATATTTTTTAAAAATGAATATGAAATATAAATATGAAAGTGGGCGGAGTCAAAACTCTTAGTTATCTTATTCTTTCGCCATTTTGTTTGAAAAATCTGATGAGTACAAAACAACTTTTTTGTTGAATTTTGTTTTGAAAACTATCTAAAATTATAGAAAATGGTCTAACTAAGAAAATAAATCCAAACACAAATATCTTTAATTCAGTCATTAACGCTGTACAGACGTTTAAAGAGTTTTTTACGTGACGTCACAATGTAGCGCTAAATATCGCGTGGGAATCAAGACACTAATTATATTACTGCGCGCTGTACAATTGCAGTTGCGTAGCAAGCAAGAGGGTTCATAACCATTTTTCTTTGATTATTTAATTAAATAAAAGAGTGGCGGCATGGCCGAGTGGTTAACGCTTCGGACTAGTAATTTTATGATCGCTAGCCGCATGGGTTCAAACCTTGACGGGCAAGTCGTTGTTTCCTTGAGCAAGAAACTTTACACTAATTGCTCAGTACTGGTTGGTTCCAGGAACGGATTCGAAAGTGTGTTTATAAGCTTATAGCTTCTTACACAATCGAACTACAATAAATTCTGTATATCTTAACCAAATAAAAAGGTTATGTTTTCGTTTTTCGTGAAATATGGTATATATTTTCATTCAACATGATAAAATGCCACATATTTTCACTCGCCGTCCCTGCTCGTGAAAATATGTGGCATTTTATCATGTTTCGTGAAAATATATCCCATATTTCACTCAAACGAAAAAATATCCTCTTAATATTCTTCGTTCTCACTTCATATTTTTATTATCCAACGTTGGAAGCTATACGCTTATTGAAACACATTCACATACGCATCCAGGATTACTACAAGGATATCCATTGAATTAATATCCCTAATCGTGTTGGACAAATAGAGGACAATGTTCCTGGGAGTATCATAATGTTACAAAATTAACAAAAATTTAAAAGTGTGAAGCAAAAGGATACAAAACATTAAATACGTAATACCATATGCCATTCATTTAAAATACTTAACTATATGAATTTCAATATGATGATTCAATTGTATTGAAAGTATTATCAGATTCTATGATTTCACATGATTTAACTTTGGTTTACTTGGCAATGCTAATTGTGTAGACATGCATAAATGTTTTACAAAAAGAATCTTGTTATTACAATTGAGATTTTTTATATCTTAAACATACAGTATATAGTGGTTGCTGTATCGACTACAACAATAACAAGTATGAAGAAGTCGGAAATGCAATGGCACAAAAATATACAATAGAGAATTTTGTTCTTGTCAATTCAGTTTAAAAAATCATTTTTCAAATACTTCTTCAAGTATGCTTGCCATAGATTCAATGGGCAATACATTGAAAAATAGCAATTCTCCTTAATGTTATTTTTTTATCTATAAAGATTCACATTGATATCTCCAATTACTCCAACATTATACACAAAAAACTTATTTTTAACTGCACTGCACATATCCGATATAAGGGCATTCAATCTGTGAAAACAATGTTAAGTTGTTATTACTTATATCTTTAGTAAGCCGCAAGACACAAATTAAATATAAAATATTTCAAAGGACAATTACTCCATGGTGATTGTAAATTAATGTGCATGTGTATTGGCAAATACAAATTGAAACAAGTTAAAGTATGCATTATATGGTCAAAAGCATCTTCTGTTTTATTTCAGGATTTTCGATGCATTAGACCGAGCAGATGAACATTTCAGAATCAAAGGGAAAAAGTTCGTATATAGTGTTGTTTGTATCGTCGTGACCTAACCATTTATCAAACCTCTAAGCATCTAAGAGGTCTTTTAGTATAAAGAAACATATATATTTATAAACATTCTATACATGTGTACACTTTAATCTTTATGTAACATTTCTTTAAAATTTGATTAAAACATTCTTTTTTTCCATCTCGGAAAAGCACAACCCTCTTGAAAAACTAATATGTCCTAAGAACCTAATCCCAAACCGCTCTAAGTATCTCTAAAATTCTACTGTTTAGTTTAGTCAATGAAGTGATTCTCATATGAATATCACATGACATTGAAGTACCCTATAGGATGCAGATACATGCTTTAAGACTTTTAACGCTTCTTTTATTCATTTTCACAAAAAAATTAATAGTTAATTTACAGGACTTACAAAGGTTATATCAAATTTAATGAAATTACACAAAGTAATGAAATATGTCATGTAAATATCTGTTCCTATGTATTGTTGTCATTTGACAGCAGCAGACATGTCTGTCAGAAACTAACCTTTTATACACACAAGTTGATGATATCATAGTCACTTCTAGTACAAAATGGACAGCTAATGGATTAAAGGTTTGAGAATAGGTTTGATTTGAAATGTACATGTATGATAATTATAGTAAATTACCGAGGTTCACAAGTACACGTATATAAATATGAATTAATGGGCTGCACACTTACTGTTGAAAAAAATACTTTCTAGATATTATGTCATTACATGGTTAGTTATAGTTTACAAGTAACTTAACATGCATCTCATTATGTTTCATAGACAATAAATTGTAACAATGTCTGTATAAAAGCATGATAAAAGATGATGCTTGTGTCAATTTCATTTCAACATCATGTCTTATCTTTAATTGCTTTTTTTGTTACTGAGGTCCACCATTTTAACCAAAAGGTATTTGTTCGTTACCCAGTCTAGACTGTGAGACAAAAACATTTATAAAATGACACACTTAGAAGTTAAATGGCATCATCATCTTTCGCCTAGTTTGTATTGTACATGTATTATCTTTCAGAATCGAGAAAATATATCAATATATCTACAGCTTAATATGAAAAATCAGATGTTCTGTAGGATTTTCTCAACGCCAGTAGTTAATCAGTCACATTCATTACGGGAAGCTAAAGTAATAAAACGCACACACGAACGCGCGCACGCGCACGCAAACTTGTCCTTCTGAAACTCTTAAAGAAATGTGTGAAAACTTGTATATGCTATTATGTTCAAACTATTATGATAATTATAATTAATTATGTTTTTATCCGTCAGAATTTCAGAAGCTGTTGACGATATGGCAGTGTATACCTATTTGAATGATGATGTCATACAGTTGATTGCCAATGATCCAAATGAAAAACTCGCAGAATCAAAGCAAATCATAGAAGATATTATGTACAGACGGTTATACAAGTGTGTATCTGAAACACACTGTCAGGTAATTGTTGCTTGCCAATTTTTAATCAAGAATACAAAGTTATTGTAGTAAGAGATGCATTATAAACATATTGCAAACTTAAACAAACTTAACGACTCTAGCGATGTCATGACATCTCTAACAATTTCTTTCGCAATTAAGCATTATTATTCAAATAATGATTTTACAGGCGGCAGTGTTTTCAAAGATAATGAGAAGTTAAAACCCACTAAAATGACTGCTTACAAAGTCTATTTCTCTTTCGTTAGGTCGATGTTAATGATAACTTTAATTAACATATTAAACATTTTAAAGTTTATGAATAGTTAAACAACTGATTTATCTTTCATAGGACAAAAACTTATCAGAAAAGGATTTAAGAGAGGGTTTAAGTGAATATTTTCCAAGTACGGGCATAGAAGAAAATTGGTTCCATTGCGATGTAAGTATTACATTGTAAAAGACTTGCTATGAATCTAAATCATAAGCATTTTAAATATGAATTATATCAAAATTTGATATTTATTTAAGGTATGTATGTAAACCAAGGGACAGAAAATAAAGATTGAATCTGCTTTTCATGTACAGAATCAAACCGAGTCTGCATCTGCAGTTTTCATGATTTTATTGTTTCAATGCTTTCGAGGGAAGATTATAGACGAGATCATTTTTGCATGACAGGAATTATGTGTTGATGCATTTCATAATGTTGATATTACTTTGATAGAAGCTAATGTTCTGTCAGTTATTAAAAATACATATAAGATTACATTCATTTTTTTAAAGCTTTAAATTTTATATTAATGTTTAAAAAGATGAAAACTTACCCTGTAATTGACCTATTTTCTCTTTCACATACGGTGTTAAAGCGCACATCTGGATCAACGGAAATATTTTTTTACCCATGCTAAATTTGAGATCCATATGGGGTTCACCCCCTGTTAGACAGTTCTCTGTACAAATTTAATAAATAAATAAAAAGTCTTAAATACATGATTATATTCACAACACAAAATATACAAAAGAGAAAATTACCAAGAAAATTAAGAGAACAGTTTTCAGTTTAACTCAATACTGTGACGTATTACATTTGTATTGCAGATTGTAAAGTTCAATTATGGAATGGAGGATAAAAACCCTTTAGAAAACGTGCGATTTTATACAAAAGAACGCTTGAATGAGCCAATAAAATTAGAAAAAAATCAGGTAAAGACTTTCAAGTCCAAGTATGTACATGCTTATTATGAGCAAATTTAAAGAAATAAAATATATTTTGCGTTTTTGTCCGAAATTTTTTTTATTGTAATGGTTACGCATATACACTACGGTATACCGTACCCCGGATATTGCTCGATATTATGAGGACGCGACTTTGAGCGAGGAAAGAAGGTAAGTTCAGTGATGATATTTAGTCATTTTGAATTGGTTTGATACAAATACTTCGATAATTTCTCTGGTTACTGAAAACCCAAAAATGTTGAAAAATAGCTGAAATGTAATTTGGAGGTAAAATTCGTCTCTTTGCTCACGTGATAAATGAGATCGGATCAGTCAAATTTGATGTTTTTGTGCATATACTTCCTTAAAAGAAAAACTTGAATCAAGTGAAATGTGATAATGATGATAATGTTTATGTTGTAAATGTTCAATCAACAATAGAACCTCAGGTGACAGTGCATTTTGAGAATAAATACACATGTCAGTGTACCGAGTATTGCGTTGGAGTTGCCCGCCGGTGTCACGAGTATTGCTTTTTAGTGTAACGAGTATTGGTTATCAATATAGAGTAAATGCAAGTAGTAAACACAGAGTATTTACCACATTTAATTTTAAATATTTCTTATTGTGTATACTTATTTACACTATATGTGCTGAATATGCAGAGTTCGGAGGTACTTTACTGGAAACATCTGCAAATAATCCAGATTTTCATTCCTGCTCATGAAAAATCTCGGTCGAACGAACTCAGCAATTTTCTGTGTTTACAAAGTTCTCGTTGCTATCGAAGGATCAACCTTTCCAGAATTTGTTAATAATTATTGCATATCTTACTTTAAATAGTAAAAAAATGCATCCAAAGTGCATTAATGCTGCCTCAAGATTGTCAATATTAGACGGTATTGAGCAAGTGTGCCAAAATCTAATATCAAACGACTTCCTACTATGCCAAAAATCCATATAAAGGTAACTTTCGGTCATTTTGCACCTGCACTCTAGCAACGGCAGACCGTCTGCACGTGAAATTTGTCATTAGCCATGAGTTACCGTATGACTGCCGAGCGGGTACAGCTCAAAAAACCGAATGATGGATTTTGATAAGATTATGATAAAGGGCAGCAGATGCAATAAAAAGGTTATGCTCCTTATAACCTTATACCTTATAAAGGCATGTTTTGAAGGCTTTACACCCCACCCCTTTTGACGCCTCAAATAGTGTAAAACATGCGCTATTTAGGCCCCAAACATTGTTTTTTTGTTTAAGAAATGTTGTTCACAAGAGTGGTTACTTTTTCGGCGCCACCCCACCCCATTAAAAAGGTACATCAAGGGGGTGCCACAGGGGGATGTGCCCCCTTCTGTTTGGGGGTTTGAAGTGGGGCAGTAGCCCCTCTAATCGCCGAGCAGATTTGGGACTTGTGGGGGGAGGCTAAAATGGCCTGAGGCCGATTTAAAGGTACCGTGTAATCAACACCGAAAAGCCTTAGACTTTATATCAATCAAGTGAGAAGTTGCTGCACCTTGAAATCAGTTTTGATGCGAGAAAACAACGCAAAATAGAGATTTTTGACAATTTTGAGACGTCCCCCGTTGCCATGGTACGTAACTGGAAATTTGAGCATGCTATCCCACAAGCTATGGTCCAGCCAACATTTGTGCCCAGTTTGATCAGTATTGAAGCATTTTTTATAGTTTCATAGCAGTTTGAACTTGTAACAGGAGACTTAATTCAATGAAAACAGCCATTGATCACAGTTTCTTGAGACATGTATTTAAAGATTTTTATCGTCAATTTTGATGGTTCTATCCTGCTCCCGACCCTGCTTCCGACCCTACACACACTTTAACTTTATTTCATCCATAGTGTGATTTTCACTCAAATGGGAAATTAAATCTGTATTTGCCGTAGAAAAAGAACAGTAATAACACTTAAAATGCATTGTTGAATCAGAATTAATTGAATAAAAATCATATAAACAGTTCATTATCAGCAAAATAAAATGGAATCAATAAACAGACGTAAAAATTAGACAAAAATATCGATTTTCCATACTAATGTGCTTATTCTGTTTTGCAATACATTGTACACTAAAGTTGGGCTATCTTGCAATACTCTGTACACTTAAAATCAATACTCGGTACACTTTCTTTTATCTTTGTTGGCCTGTATCTTTTTGTACTTTCACACGTTTTGCCTGAAATTTGGACAAAGCATGCATGGATTGTGAATAAAAAAAATGCTCGATTCAATTTATTTATATTGGTAATATAATAATTTCTAACGATTCTACAGTATCGCGGTCAGTATTTTCTAGTTAGCAGCGGATCGTTTAGGGGTAGTTTAATCAATTTTACAAATACTTGTAATACTTTTATGTCTTTTAGAGCTACAAAAATACCTCTAGATATATAAAACCCGTTGAGATAAATGAAATAGCCATTAGTTTGGAAAATATCGTCGCTGAACTTACCTTCGTTCCCCGTTCAAAGTCGCGAAATGGGATGAAAGTCCTCATAATATCGAGCGCTATCCGGGGTACGGTATACCGCACTGATATATGTAACATGATTATTCTAGACAAATAAGCGTGCTAAAATTTTTAAAATACTAATAATTTATATTTTACTTGTGTTGTGTTGCAATCAAAAACGTATAAATTTGCAATGCAGCTATAATTTTAAATCATCAAATATTTGACCGTGTAATTGATCGAAGCATTTAACAGGTCTCCTACGTACTTCCTGACGTCTTTGAAGAGTGCGTCATACGCATATACTGTAAGTGTGAAGATAAAAAACAAGTAGAAAATGCAAAAAAGCTTGCCGAAGCATTTCGAAAATGGTGTAGGGAAAAGAGTTATCCATTACCAAAGGTAAAGATATTTCCCCGTTTTGTTTGATATTAATTTTTATTTAAATTCTTTTTTTACAGTTTTAGTATAAAGCTTAAATAGTGTAAATCTTCTATCATAAAAAATTCGATACTAAATCATTGGAGAAATACATCCGTTTACTTCCGGGGGAGAATCTAGCTTTTGATACTTGTGCTGGCTCTATATTATCTACAGCGACTACAATTACACGTTATTTTGTCTATGTCATGGTTTAAGTCTAGACATACTTTATACGACAAAATGACATACTAGTATTAAATATAAAATATCATATTTATGACAACTGTTCGTCAGAATGACTTTTTAGCGATAACTTTTGTCCACTACTTATCCAATCACATGATAGTATTTAGAAAAAAATGACAAGCATAAGGTGCATCGATGCAATCTGAAGATGCTACAATAAGTGTGTATTGGTCTCAAAAAATATACATATAATAATAAAAAACTAAAACTACATTTAAACATACATTAATGAAGATAGTGTTTAAAAGATCATGTGGGTTGTTTTATCTTATAAAACACATTTCAAATTTAACACAGTGTTTCCTGCTTATTGAAGAGTGCAATAATTGCTTTAAAATATATTGAAAGTTATCAAACTCTTTTATTATCCAAAATTATAACATGAATTATAGTTTCACCGAAGTTTTAGAAAATTGTTTCAAACCTATTATTTAACACAAAATGGAACAGAAGTATTAGAATGGATTATTTGTAGGAAGCGGCGTGCATCCAAACGGCAGTTAAACAACGAATTGAAAGTGCATCAGATGAATCAAGTGCATCCGACAGACGGGATAGTACTGATACTGCTCAAGCAAATAAACAATTGCCAGAACCTGCAACACTTGAAACGACGGATGAGCAGCCTCAAAGTTTCAATAACGGTGGAGTGGACATGCGTTCAATAGAACAATAATCTTAACAACAAAATATTGATAATTTATAAACCCAAGGTTAAACTAGATTTATCAATGAAACTATTTAAAGAATGTAAACGGAGTTTTTGTAATTACAAATAGTGAACAAATTCGTCATTTTATTGAATTAAGTGTTTGTTGATCCCTTTTAAAATGTCGTCTCATGTACTTTATTATATACATATAAGCGTATTTTATACTACTGAAAAGCTTTTAATGTGCAAAAACAAAACTTAAATACCAAATTAGGACCGTTTTCACCATTAGTGATCATTATAGCACATTCTTTATTAATATTACATTTTTTAAATATTACAAACAACAAAAGTAACAAAAAGGATAACAAAAACTAGTTTGCAAACATAATTATTCAAGTTTCTAATCAAAATGATATAATTGACCAGATTTTTCATGTGAACACAAGTCGTCTGTTCGTACATAATATATAAATGTTTTCTATTTACTGATTTTGGGCTTAATCAAAATTGACGTTCCAAATATCGATACGAACAATAAAAAGTGTTTTAACTTGGATTTGAAAAAGAGAAATTTACTAATTATATTAACCTGAATTAATTCAAGTATTGCGTTAGGAATGTCTGTCAGTGTATAAATTATATTGATGAAAAATGTCTGTAATGCCCCATTAAAGTTGCTGTTTAGGGCAATAATTTTTCTTTTTTTTTGTAGCGCTTCATTCTATAATCTGTGAAAAAATTATGCCGTTTACACAGAGGAAAACGAAATATAACAATATATTTTGTTTTAAATCTGGATCGTATGCTATTTGTTTATATTACCATGTGCTATGATATTGTGTTAATTGTGTAATTACAGATAGCAAATAAAAAAAAACATTGAGCTCGGAAGGGACAAGGAAATCACATAAAATTTTGAATGCATGGTAGTTGTATAATGACAATCTCTCGGTTACAGATTATGTAAATGTTTTAGATAATTAACTCTTTAATCAAACCTGATATAAAATATCCAGTCAAAAACTAGGTCATAAGAGTTTAAAATAGAAAAGCTTTTAACACTCTAGAGGCTGCAGTTTTGATCAAAATATTCTAAAAATTTGTCAGGAAGGTTGCTTTGATTATTTCTAGGTCAAGTTCGAATATGGGTCATGTTCGGTCAAAAACTAGGTCACAGGAGCTAAAAATAGAAAAATCTTGATAACACTTTATTTGCTGCAGTTTTGATCTAAATATTCTGGAATTTTGTCAAGAAGGTTGTTTAGATGATTTCTAGGTCAACTTTGAAGATGGGTTATCTCCGGTCATAAACTAGGTCACAGGAGCTAAAATAGAAAACACTCGTTTACACTCTATAGGCTGCAGTTTTGATTCGAATATTCTGCAAATTTGTCTGGAAGGTTGTTTTAATAATTTCTAGGTTAAGTTTGAAAATGGGTCGTCTCCGGTCAAAAACTAGGTCACATTGCCCAAATATGGTATCACCTTTTTAACACACTAGGGGTCACATTTTTTACTCAATTGTCATCAAACTTGGCCGGGATGCTTGTCTAATACATTGCTTGGATGCGGTTGATGGGTCAGGGGAGCGATCCAGGGCCATCATGGCCCTCTTGTTATGTAATGTAATATTGTTTTTTGTTTGTTTTTGTTTTGCTTTTCATAATAGCTAGAACAAGACTTTTTGTGATATGCCATCAATGGCATTAGACCTAAATGGAGATAAGGAGAACTGTTTTTCCCTTTTTGTTTGCATCTTTTCAAATTGGTTTGCATCGAATTGAATTTATGTAGAATTAATGTATGATTTAATTTCGCCAGCTTGTTGTGTCATACCTCTTTTTTATTGCTTTGCATGAATCGTCTGTATACTTTTATTGCATTAAATATTTATATTCGAGTATTTTGTGCAGCTATAATATGAACGGAGACAAAAACAGGAAAGAAATCCTTCTTATATCCGATTTAAAATAACTTAACGTAAATTGTTCTAAAACGGAAGACCTGTAATGTAATAACCAATTACGTTGAAAGTATTTTGTAACAGACGTAACAAAAACCACAAAAGAATTATGTACGGCTGTTGATGGCAATTGTAAAATACATACTTTTGATATTATATATATCTAAAAGGGATGTTCAATGAATAATGACAGCATTTGTTATAGCATTTCCTTACTTTAGATATTTTTAGACTTCAATTAATCAACATTTTACAGTTTTCAGGTTTTTAGTTATATAGATAGCAGTTAAACAATGCATTGCATTAAATTACTTATGTTTTTCTCTGTTCTGTTTAATGTATTCTTTGACGTGTGAAATAAGAATTAAAATTGCCAATACCATATTGTTCATTTTCCTTGTTCATTTACACTTTTATAATAGCAAATTATGATATGTTTTGTTTGACTTAAATAGCTAGCATAGGAACTTTGACATGGAATATCATGGATCAGCCATTACTGGAAACCAAAGACATTGAAGCAGTATATTGACAGTCAAGCATGTATATAATATATATAATATGTTGTAAAGAAGCAACGAACACATGGACACATATTGGTTTCTAGGTATCCTTAATAATGTTTACTATACAAACTAAACGACAAAGTGTTTGAAACATACTCATATCACGCATTATAAAATATAATTTATAAACTTCAAGAGTTTTGACCGTGCGATTTCTGAACCTATTCTTTAAAATTTAATTTTATTGAGGGTCGCCCATCGTTTTTCGTTTAGGTCACACGAACTCTTTATGACTCTTTATTCGTCGCTTCTCGTGGAATAGCACTAACGTGTCTCATTAGAAGTTCTATGATAACCCACGTATGAACACATATGTGGATGTTTCTAAATTTGTATTTCACCATTCCTATGTTTAAATGTTGTATTTTGCTGAAGCCTGAGCTTGAGGTGTGGGGGCATGGATTCACACAGTTCAGTCAATAAACAATCTCGAGCCTGAAACATGTTCAAATTGTAGCTTTGGACTTTCTTTAGGGATTTTTATTTCTCTCCATTGATTCAAATATTAATAATAAATAAGTCAGATATGATCAATTAAGCCTTGTATTTTACTGTCCAAGATCACCATTAATTGTTCTAAACATAATCTCGTTTATTCAGTCCAAAAATCAATTTCAAATCACTATCGTACTCCCTCCATTCTTGTGATAGTGTAAGATATAAAGGTTATCATACATTATTCTAATAATCAAATGTCTACATTCATAGGTGATGACCCTAACGGAACACAGTATTTCATTAAATTTTAAGTGTTCAGGGCCAAATAACTAGTTTTCTATTGTTAAAAGTGTGTATTAAAATTATAAAACTAAAGGAAAAAGAAAGGGTAAATGACGAAGGTTTTATTTTTCCAACATTAGTTGAGTAACATCAATTTTGTTGATTGAAAGCATTGTGTTCAATTGCTGATATTGAGAGAAAGCAACTCTATGCCACACTCAATGTAAACTTTTTAAAATGCTAGAGACCCTTGATGACAAGCAGAGAAGTAAACGGAAAGGAAACATTTTAATATAAGTTGACTTGTATCGTATAATTGCATTAAAAATAAAAGTACACCCTAAAAAACATCGTTCAGTTGTCAATGATAAGGCAAAACGAAAGGAAACAGAGCTGCATTGTGTAGAATGTTTGAATGATATTATATCGTTTGGTTAAATAAATTGACGTGAAGCTGTAAAATAAACAGTGTACATTGTACCAGTTATACTGATAAAATAACAGCACCAATGTTTAACCCTTTCCCCCATGAGCATATTGTGAAAAATGGCCATTTTCACTGAAAAGCCTCCTCTTACAAGTTCAAACTGCTATGAAACTATGAAAAATGCTTCAATACTAATCAAACTTGGCACAAATGTTGACTGGACCATTGCCTTTGTAACGACATGCTCAGTCTTAAATTTCCTGTTACCATGGCAACGAGGGGACATCTCAAAATTGCCAAAAATCACATTTTTGCCTCGATTTTTTCCATCAAAATTTACTTCAAAGTGCTGCAACTTCTCAAGGGATTGAGATAGAGTCAAAGGCTTTTCAGCGTTGGTTACACGTTACCTTATGATCAACCTGGGGTCATTTTAAGCCTCTCACAAGTCCAAAATTTTCTTGGCGATGAGGGGGACTCCGCCCCCCTTCAAACCCCCCAAACAGAAGGGGGCAAATCCCCCTCCTGGCAATCCCCTGATGTATTATTTGGATGGGGGACGGCGCCGAAAAAATGGTCACTTTTTTAACAACATTTCTCAAACGAAAAACAGTGTTTGGGGTCTAAATAGGACATTTTTTCACTGTTTGAGGCCTCAAAAAGGGGGGGGGGGGGCAAAAAGCCGTCGAAACACGCTTATATAAGGGAAAAGGTTAAACCTACTTCGAATAGTCATTTTTATAAATGATAAGCGGTAAAATGTATGATTTGAAAGTCTCGTTGGCATAAAATATGCCAGCCTAACAATATTGAAGGTAATTTTTCAAATTTAGTATTTCGTTTATAGTAAATGAATATAGATGTGTCAATTTTAAAATGTTGATCATGTCCAGAAATAAATTACGGCGAGTCATATACCTTGTATATATTATATGTAGTAAACGGGTACCTGATATGATGATCAAAAGAATATTTTATGATAATTTCACCATTATTGGCAAGACAAATGTGCCGAACACTTGTGCAATTACGGGCGTCGCATAATCTTTATAGTAACCGTAGTAAAACAACGTGTGATTATTCAAATTTTCAATTGATATTGCCGTATTGATCTGTTTTAAAATATCATAACTTACAAAGGCAGGTATTTCGTTTTGTTTGTTTTTCGAACAATTTTGAACTCATATCACGTGACTCACGTCATATTTTGCAGAAATAGTTAATAAACTATTCATTTTCTTTCAAATCTACGTGAGTTCTTTATGTCTTTACCAACTATGACCAAATTATGCGGAAACTTAGGGGAAAGTTGTATGTCACAAATGATAGTTTTGGCCCAAAGACGGGACATTTTTTTATTTTATTTCTTAACAAACTCATAGTTTTCTAGTTTTCTTGGACCAAATTTTCCATTTCTCAAAATGAAATGATTTCTGTTAACTTATCTATATCTTGAAGGTAATGAAAAGAAAGTGAAAATGATAAAATGTTTTTGACAAGACATTAATTTTGTCTCAATAACTCTTCAGATGCATATCATTACAATATTTATTTAATTTGAAATAAATCTCAGTTTTGCAAATTGATAAAAGTCATTGAAGTTTGTAAAAATTATTTGCCGATAATATATGACATATACTTGAACACCAAAACAAGTTTTTACATTTTTTTTATTAAATCTAAGCTTTCATGTGTATTTTAAATATTTTAAATATTTATCTCGGGGATATAGAAGAAATATATTCCAAAACTTATAATGTTGAGGATACAAACAAGATACCAATACTATTTTGATGGTTTCCATTGATTGCAATACCATAAATAAACTCGAAACAAAATGATCCCTTGGAAGCATTAATCACAACAAAATTACATGAGAATTGCAGACTCGGTTTGATTGATTCTGTACATAAAAACAACAATCTTATTTAAAAACATTATATTCTCATAGGCGGCACATTTGAAATGTAAAAGAAGGAATTCATATTGATCTCTATAGAGTAATGTTGGCTGTACTATGCTGTACTATGTTCGCCAAAATTATATACATGATACAAAACCTTTATGAATATTAAAGAACACTAGTGTAATTTGCGTAAAAGTTAAGCCTTATGTATATAATTATATATATGTATGAGTGATAGTGTTTCCATCCCATAAAGACCCCACTTGACAACTAGCCTTATGACATATAGATATCAATGATGTTATACTCATGAAATAAATGTCCAGGCTGTATGTAATGGCGACAATGTATTCACAAATATAGTTGTTCGTTGGCCAGGGTCGACTCACGATGCATTTATATGGAATAACTGTGAATGTGTTCGCAAGATCGAAGAAATGAATTTACAAAATACATGGATTTTGGGTGATAGATAGTATCCGTTAAAATCATACTTACGTACTTACGCCATTATTTACTGCAAATACAGAGACTGAAAGGAGATTTAATGTTGCTCACAAACGTACATGTTGTGTAATCAAACGTACATTTGGCATTTGGAAAATGAGGTCCAGGTGTCTACACAAGTCAGGCGGATACATGACTTGTATGAATACATGAATACATACCCGATGAATGTGCTAAGATGATTACTGCAGTTGCAGTCCTTCACAACATGTGCATTTGGAGAAAATTTATTGATGACAATATTAACCATGAAGATGGCGACAATGACAGTGACGTCAATGGTAACGAAAATAATAGATAAACAACAACAACGATGATGGTAGACAGGTTCGAGATAATCTTATTCTGGAGATGCTTTCACACGCTAGCTAAATCTTCGACCGTTCTGAATAGTGTTTAAAATCTCGTCAACTACAAAGTCGACGTTGTGTTGATCGTAACAATAAGTTTTAAAATTGTTTAACAAGTTGATAGATTAATGTGGGACAAGCATTGTCCATTTATGATTGCAAATTTAACCGTTTAGAATGATAACATATTTTTTGTGTAATGGAATGTAAAATAAAATAAACACATCGTGTTCAGTTTTCATTCTTCCCTTCTAGAAGAGCATTAAGGAAGTCTCAGCTGAGTTTTAAAATAATATAACAGAGAAAAATGTTCACTCATGATTATAAAAGTAGTCTTGTTTAAGATGAATAATAAGAAATAAAGCCGTATATAACGATACACTGTACTTTCAGGACTATAAATTTAACAAATTATATATGTAGTCTATAAAAAGAGCAAAAGATTTGACAGTTTTTCGACAATAAACACTTTCTAGTGTTAAATGTTAACATGTTACCAAGTCATAAAGTATTTAAACTGTTAATTACATTCTATACTGAGCCCTATTGTATTGAAGCATTCACCTCGGAATAATGTCAATCATGTTGATATGAAATCGCAATGTTCCACAATTTCCGCCCAAAGTTCAACTTCTGTAGTGTTCATCTCCACATGTACTTCTGTTGTATTTGGAAGTCTTTTCTTAATGTACAAAAATTCCCTTGGTTTAAGAGATTCACATCCAATCAATTGCAAAGATTTTACATTCCTGAGAAAATAGGCCAGAAATGTTTGGATTTCGACATTAAAATATAGGTTTCGACATATTAGAATGACCACTGACGGCAGCGAAGCGTTTATACAATGTGCTAATAATTCTAAATTATGGTGTTTCTCTGCATATAGTTCAATG